CACACACACACACACACACACACACACACACACACACACACACAAACTTGTCTCCATATAAATGTGAGCATTCTATACAATATATATTACATATGTTAGGTGTGTGCAAAAATAAAGCAATAAGGTTTATTTTATGCATCTTAATTTCTGTTACCTAGGACCTCAAATGCCTAATAATGTCTTCATGAATGAAATATATTAAGGTGAGAATATTGCCTTTAACTTGTAAAGTCATTGTTTTGTGACAGTTTAAGATAAAGGAGAACTATTTTTACCTCCCAGTCCTGGTCTAAGCCGATTATCGTAACCATCCAGAAGTCTGTCTAGAATTCTTGTAAAGATGGTAATGTTATTTTTAGCCTCATCTTCTTGGATGTTAGCCAGCACCAACCTAAATAGAAAATTTCACAAATTGGTATATATTATATATGTGCATACAGTGTTTGGCTAAGTGCCAACATGCTCTTCTTACTTGATCTGAATTTGAGGCTGCTTTGGCCATTAGTGATACACACTTCTTTCCTTTTTCACTCTATAAATAGTACTAAACTTATAGGAACACTAAATATACTATTTAAAAATGGATAATAAATATCAGAATATCAGAAGCATAATTATAACACTTTGAGATTTCTGACACTTAGCATTCTGTATGAAAAAAATCTATTGCATAGAACATACCATGTTTACAGATTCTCATGTGCAAACATTATCAGCAAGATTGTTTAGCAGTTAGATGGAGTGTAATGACTAGAGAGACTTCTGAAATGTTTCTTCAGTGTTGTGGACATTAATTGGAAAATAAACTGCCATCTTGGTAGTACAAATTCCTCTATCGTTCTCATATGTAGCATTATTTCTCTATGCCTTTCACATTTTTAGACCAAGAAAATTTCCTGACTTGGGGTATACCTCCACCCAATGGCCAAGTATAATATAGACATCAGGGAAACTCCACTGGCAGGCTGCCAGGCTTCAGTGTGACCAGGAGATGGAGGTGGGCTCTGAAGGCAGCAGCAACACACAGCCTCAGAGTCTGGGAAGGCTAGGTCCTTGGAGTGGTCTCAGAAGAGAGATAAGGGGCTACATAAAGATAAAAGTGTCCAGTTACCTCTTCTTTGGTGATAAATTTGTGGTAAGGAATGGTCTTAAAATATCCCCAGCAAAGCTTTGGAAGCAGGGATTTTCTCCATTATTTCTCCGTCATAAAGCCAGAGACCTGATTTTGTGACAGCAATTTGGTACCAAAGAAACTGAATGTATAAAACAGAGTGTCCCTTTTCATTGCCATTTTTTCTCAGAATGATTCAGAGATTTAAATTACTGTCCCCAAAAAAGAATCATTTATATAATAGAATAAAATTCTGCCGTGAACATTATTGGTCAAATATAGAATAGAAAATGAATAGAGTGATATTTAGTTAAGCAGTTGGTGGTAGTTCTCAATGGTTATTAATTTATAATAAATCATCTATGCCATTAAAGTCAAAGACTGGATGTACTTACATTCTAGTCAATGTTTATCATATAAAACATCACTGACAGAGACCCTTTACATCAAAATGAATGCAGAAACAGTAGCTAACAATACTCATAATAATCAATATTGGCAACAAACATGAAGCTAACATTTTGAAAACCAGAGTGAATATTAAAGTGTGAACAAGAAGATGAACAGCCTCATATATATAAATAAATCAGTTCATACACTCTACTCTCAAAAGTTTCTTTTTGCCTACTTTAAGCTAATTTTAAAACCCCTCACTAAGATAGTCACAGGAGTCTGAGATTTCACTCAGAGGTGTTGTTAAGTCATATTTCATATTCTCTTTCTAAAGACAATATTCAGTTAGAGTGGGTATTTCCCAATTAAATTATTTCCAAACGGACTTCTTTTCAGTTTCAAAATATCGTTTCACACTTTAAAGATTATTTGGTCAAAACTCTTAAAGGGAATAATAAAATGCTATAATATTTATTAAAAAGTAATGGCTACAGAAAAATCCTTAAAAAATTTAATTCTTCTAGGGTTTATAAACACTTCCTAAATGCATTAAATGATATATACCCACTGCTTATTTTTTTATAATCAGAAAAGACTGCAATTAATATGAAATTGCTTAAATTAATCAAATTTACTTCTGTGCAGACTATAGGCAAAAGAAGAAAATCACACATTTGAAATAAGTACTCTTTTCTATCAGTAGCCACCTGAAAAGAAAAATACCTTTAAATTAATGAGATGAAAAGTTGCTTCATACATCAAGCTTTTGTTTTATTGTTTGTGATTGTCAAGTTGTATACTATCTCCACCTAGAGGTTTAAGACTCACATATCATTTGGGTTTTCTATGTTGTTTATAGAAGCCCCAAATGATTGAAAACAAAAATGCAAAGGAAGACACAGAAAGAAAAGGAAAAAAACCTAAGTTGCCACTTAAATCATTTAGCTGATATTTTTCTGTCATCTCCAAGCATAGTTTGGCTTCCTCATCAGATTTTGACATTATAGGTATCTTAACTGCAGGCATCCTTTGCACTAATAAACTCCTGATAGGGTAGTCTCTTCTTCAGTTAAATGCTTCATATAGAAAATGTGCTCATTCTTTTTTTTTTTTTTTTTTTTTGTGGCTTTAAGAAAAAAAGATCAGCAAACTTTTTCGAGTTTCAGACACTTAATGGGTCAATTTCCTATACAATACATTTCCATTAAAAACAATTCTTCAAAACCTCTGTACTCTGAAAGATCACAGAGACACTTGGGGCATTTAGAAATCACGGCTATACCTGAAACGAAGAAATCAAACACAACATCTCACCTGGCTGGGTGCCACACCAGGAAAACAAGCAGCAGAGACCGTACATTGCAGGTGTTCAATTTTGTCTCCATCTTCCTTGTTTGCGAAGCTATGGAAGAAAAACAAAATTAAATTAAAACTGTCCTCAGTCCTGTCATCCAAGTAAGCCCCAAAGAATGTCATCTCAGTTGTGGGGAGGGTTGTTCCTCCAGTGCACTAGGTGTATAGGTGTAGGGCTAGATGACTGGAGGAGGCGGAATGACGCTCCTCATCTCCTCTCCCCCCTGCCACTTAACTTCCCCCAACCCTATCCTCTGCAAACACTTCGCTGTGCACACATGAAATGACAACACCCGGGACTCTAAACTGACACATGCGCTTACGAAGGAATAGATCGGAGGAGTGAGTGGAAAAGAGGTGGAGAGATGGATACTCCATGCCTCGCCTTCTCAGCGAAGACCACCTCCGCAAGCACAGCAGGAAAAGCTAGCAGCTAGCAGCCTACTTTTCAATGTCTGTCTTTTTCCTTCCAGTGAATTGCAGTCCTCGGGTCTTCACTTTCCCCAACAACCCCCCTCTCACGCCGCCCCCCCCCCAAAAAAAATTTAAAAAAAAATAGAAAATGAAATCCAAATCCTTCTCCCTGCCCAGCCACGTTTGCCCACATACACGTTCAGGAGGTAGCAGGGTGGGAATTGAGTGCTGCGAACTCTGCGTTGGACAGCTGCTCTAGAGCCAAGATTAACCAAAAGAGCGTGAGGCGTTAGGATCAAACACCAAGCAGGCAGGCAGCGCAGCCACTGTGTGCAAAGTTGGAGACTGTAAAAGAGCCGGGCCAGCGTGCTGCCGCCGGACTGGCTCTTGGGTTTTTATTGTAGTTGCAAATACGTTCCTGGGGAGGGACATTGGAATTGGATTTTGGAAGCTGGAGGGCAGGGGAGCCTCTGTTTCGAGGGAGCATGAAGAGTGGAGTGGGTTGGGGAGATGGGGGGGGGGGTTAAATGCTGGCGAGGCAGAGGAAAATGGGCAAAGGTCGCCCGCTGCCACCAATGTCTGCGACCCTACCTGAACAGCAAGCAGAAGTAGATGTTTTCCTCCAGTAGCTCTGATTCTGGGGAAATGGAAAACTTGAGAAAGAGAGAGGAGAAAAACAGAGAAGAGAGAGGGGAGAAGAGGAGAGAGAGAGAGAGAGAGAGAGAGAGAGAGAGAGAGAGAGAGAGAGAGAGAGAGAGAGAGAGAGAGAGAGAGAGAGACTGACTGCAGCAGCCTAAGGAACAGGCAGCAAAGGGATGGGCTGGTGGAAGCTGGAGCAGAGCGCGAGGAGCCGCGGCCGCGCGAGGAGTAGGCGGCGAAGGCGTCCGTAGTGGCGGTGATGGGCGGAGGAGGAGGAAGAGGAGGAGGGAGTAGCGACGGCAGGAGCCGGGGGTGGGGGCGCGGAGGCGCGATGCGCGATGCGCGCTGGCAGCGGCGGGCACGAGCCCCGCGCCTGGAGAAGGAGGAGCCAGCCTGAGGAGGAGGGCTAATGAGGTTCCTGGGAATAGGGGACCCCCCAACCCCCACCCCAATCCCGGTCAAGCCGGGGAGACGCGGGGCACCCCAGTGAGCCCCGGAGCTCCGCTGCCCGGCGCCCACACCGTTCTGGAGGAGCAGAGCCCACGCCCCGCCCGGAGCTGCTCTCCGGAGGCCCCGAGCTTCCTGGTGTGAGGGTTAGGGGGGCGCTGCTGGTGAGTGTGGGTGAGGAACCCTGAATGGTATGTGTCTGTGAGGCCCTAGGTCCTGCGGATTGTTCCCTGCCGCTGGTCCCCCAACATCATCCCTGGTGGAGCGATGTGGCTGCCTGGAAGAGGTAACGATGTATGGCTCCCACTGGAGGGCGAAGGGGCTAATCACGCCTTTACTTAGTCATCAGCGCATCCACGCAGGACCAAGTTAAATGCACGTTATGTGGAATTACACAGCAGGAAGTTTCTTTGATTTCCTTAGCCTTCTGGATATACCTCTCATTCCTCCGCACTCCTGCAATCAGGACCAATTTCCCCTCAAGCTAGGAGGGCTGGAGAGTTGCCCAGAGCCGGTCAGTGAAGGCCCTGGACCGACCTTCCACTTCAGGAAACCTCCTGCCTGCTTTCAGCAATGGCTTTTCCCTAATCTCTTTGCCAGGTATTCTCTTTACCTGGTAATCAAGACTCAATCTAAGAGCTATAAAAAGTTTACATTAGGCTGGAGCAAAGGGGCCCGCAACCGCCTTCTCAGCGCCTTCTGCAGACAGTAGCGAGATGGAGAAGTTTGAGGTTTTTTCCCCCTTTAGGGCTTTTTCGTGGCAGAGACTTGTAATTCCAATGCCATCATACACTTTGAGCATTCTGTGCTTGATCTGTCTGATTTTTCTTTCGTTTTATCTGGGGCGATAAAATCCAACCGTGTAGCTTGAACAAAAAAAAAAAGAAGAAGAAAAAGAAGAAAAGGGAAACAAATGAAAAAGAAACGAGTTCTGTTATATTTTTTTCCTCTTTCTGTACTGCACACGAAACAGAACGTTACCTACATTCTACTCAGGCAAATCAGAGCTGGTATTTATCTTTTCCCAAAAGTTGTTATAAACGTGAAACACTATAAAAGGAAAAAGAGGAGAGTTTAGTATGTCTGTTTACATTCAGAGTCAATATGTGACAAATACTTGAAATTTTGGTAGTTGGGTCCCCCAAAAAATCAGATTTTTTTTTCCCTAGGTGGTGCAGTTTTCCTAACAGGCAGTGCTAATCTACAATACGTATTAGCTTTGCTTTGAAGATGATGGGGGGGGGGACCTTTACAATGGAAATATTTCAAGTTGCTCCTTTTAATATATAAGCCACCACTTTGCCAATGAGCACTTAATGTTATAACCTAAACAAACATCTGCTCTTAGTTAGCTGGCTTGATGACGGAAGGAGCACTGTGCAGTCTCCTCCCCCTCCATCATTAATATTCCTTTCCTGACTTGCCCATTGTGGAGTCTAATTGAAATTCACAAAGATAAAAAGCATGCCATTTAAAACCTTGCAAGCAGGGAACCCAGAGTCTTCTACTTGGTGAGAACACTCCACTTCCTGCTGCATCTTCCTGTTCTGCTCCCGTGTGTCAGTTACTGTTAGGAACTCTCTCATTAGGCCATGTAGATCACTTCTCAACTGTCTATATTTTGACCGATGCAACTCTATTTGACATTGCCCCTACAAAATTTCTCTTTCACGAACCTCATAATCTCTCCAAGTATGTTCACATTCTATTCTGACGCTTTCTTACCACTATTTTTCTCTTCATTCTGTTATTGAAGAAAATAGATTCTGATTCTAATTGCTTGCTTCCATTTTAAAACTTTTATGAATTGAAGTGATTTGTTTAAAAAATCAGCTTTGTCTGTTAACACTGTGATTAAACTTAAAATCTCACTGACATATGATCTGTCTGCATTTGAGAAACTTCATGAAGTTCAAGCAAGCTGTCTGGAATGATTATTTTTTCCCACCACTTAGTTTCTTTGAAAGTGTATGTTGAAACAGTTCAAAGATTTGGATACACATTTACTGGACCTAGAGTAAAGCTAGATGTTTAAATATCATAAAATTCTGATTTTTTAGTCATCCCCCCCAGAAAATGCTTTATGATTTCTATTGATGTTGGATATCAGTGATTTAAACTTCAAGGCACATTAAAGGAAATGGGAATCAGAAACGCTGAGAGCCGAGAGCATCCATCTGCCTCAAAGCCATATCCAGACAGATATCTGGCCCGAGTACTGGGATTTTCTAATCTCTTCAAAGGTCTGAATGCAGTCTGGTTTTCCTCTGAGCTCTCTATGATAGAGTGTGGGTTAACTGCCTGGACTTGAAGAGACTGGCCTGGGGTTGGTGACTAAGCTTTTTCTACCCATTTCTCTTGGAGCATGTCCTGGAGAAGCTGACCCTGAAAAACGGACAGCTAATGGGTTATCAGTAAATCCATTCCCATCCATGCTTGGCCAGTGCAGAACCTCTAGTGTTGAACCCATTTGATTTACTCATCCAAATTGGATTAGAATGAGAGGAACACTACATCTCCAGCATCCAAGGCCACATGAAATCCAAGAGTAAAAGAAAGCAGAAAAGTTTGGAGACCTTTTATTTCTGCTACATTTTTCTTTATATCTCATAATACTGTATAATTTTTAAATTTGGTACAAAAACTGTTGCTTTTATTTCTACAGACCAGCTGGGCACTGCTACTCCAAGACCTCCACATGACTAGAGGTCATCACAGCACTTGAAGCTTTCTTACAGAAAGCAAATAGTACACACACACACACACACACACACACACACACACACACACACATATATATATATATACACATACATACATACATACATACATACATACATACATTAAGAGTGTATTGTAGGAGCTTCTGTTTACAGTATAGGGCAGCTAGTATGGAGACAATTGGTCAATGTGCAGAGCATAAGAAAGTGTGGAGTGATCGGCACTAAATAGGCCAGCCACACCACACTCCTCCTCTCAAGTCTCAGGGACCTTCACAGAAGAGAGAGTGGGAAGAATGTAAGAGCCAGACACAGTGGGAGTCTACAACAAGGCAGTGTTTGCTGGACAAGACAAGGCCATTGCACACATGAACTCAGAATAGCTGTGACTATATGTTCAAGACCTACACAAGATCAAACTAGACAAAATGCCAGCATATGTTCATGAAGTTCAGCCCACGCTGAAAAACTACTGACAATTGATAGCTGCCTGGTAGGGAGAGTAAGTTTTCTTCAGGGATGAGGCAAGAGACCACCCATGCTCCAAAAGATGGTCCTACACACAAGTACATACAGACCAGCATTAGGTGGATTCAGTGGGTTGAGAAAATAAAAGCACATATGAAGTTGGGAGGGGAAATTGGTAGGAGAGATTGTGGAGGAATTGGAGGGTAGGGAAAGGGGAGTGGATTTGATCAAAATACATTACATGCATGTATAAAATTCCCAAACAATTTTTCCAAATCTGTAAAAAGAAAATATAAGAATGTTCAAACAATGTGTGATAAAAAAAGCTGTATTAAATAACTGAATAAACAAAATTAATGAGAACATTTTAATAACATTTTTACAAATTTTATTTAGTTTTCATTTGATTTTCTATACTTTAAAATGATAAAAAAAGAGTGAGTTTATTAAACCAGCATCTCATCATATGTGAAATGTTGAGTGTGTTAGTGTAAAATAAACTTGTATTCAAATGAAGATATATGGACGGGTGTAATGGCTCAGCAATGGCAGCAGCCTGCTGCTCAGCCTGAGGACATGGGTTTGATTCTCCAGGATCAGATGGTTAAAAGAGAAAAACAACTCATCCATGTGTATATCATGACATGTACCCTTCCCTAAAGTAAGTAAGTAAATGTGTCTTTAAAGTAAATAAATCCCTACAAAAACACCAAATGAGGATGCAAATCGGGACCTAAAGCATACAACCTTGTTTACAAAATTAAATACATGAATATCTTAATAATTCCCAAATATGCTTTGAGTATAAGTCTGTTTTCTCATATTTACCAAGTTAGAAAAACAAAAACAGAGAAATGAAAAGAAAACTGGAGCAAACACCCATTTGGCAATTCTCAAGTCAAAATTGTAGCTTGATCAAACTCTATTTTCCTTGAAAGCTGTATTTAGATGGATGGTTAGACTCCCAGATTCTGAAAGAAAAACAGCTGTAAAGTGGGAGTAACTAGTCTTATAAAGAAATAAACTTTAAGCTACTCTCTTACACTAATGTATCTGGGTCACATTTCATTAGTGCTAAATGTATCATGGTATACTAGCTGGATTAAGCTACACACATTACTTGCTTCAAAGAGAGTCAGTAAATATTTATAAAGTAGTTTTACAAATTCTTATTCAACTTACAAATTGGACATATCAAACATTCGGTGTACACTGATGGTTTCTGATATTTTTAAAGCTGACTATACAATTACACACATACAGACTAGTTTATAAGAAATTTATTGCTGCCTTTCTGTGAAATTATCAATAGATTTCTTTTTTGGCTTATTTAGCTGTTCCTAAAGAACAAATGGAACTTCAATCATTCAACCCAAAACACTCCTAGAAAATTTCACTATGAGTTTTGTTCAATGGCATGCTACTGTATCACCAAATATCACCAACAGCCTTTGCCTGAGAATGTCCTGTAAATACTAACAAAAATAATGAACTTATGGCAATTCCACTTGTAGAACAATTTATTTTATAAATACCTTGTATATATTAGTATATGTAATCTTTGAAAATAAGAATTAAGCTATTATTATTTCCATTTTACTGATGAGAAAATGTTGATTTTGTATTCTTAACTATTATAGAAAGGACACATATATTTTGAGAAGAAAAAAGCAAAAATACACAATCAGATTGTGAGTATTTCATGGTCAATCAGAAATATGAAACAGAAAATAGAAATGAATTATTTCAAAGAAAAGAGTGAATAATACCATGGCAAGTTAATAGACCA